TTGCGAAGCCTGCATTATTACTATATGGAACTACTTGTCTGCTGGTGAGCGCTTGCAGCTCCTGCTTGTATCCTGGTACTTGCGATCCGAGTTCCGCTGCCTCTTGCTTCTTCGCGCGGTGCAGCTTGGTTTGTGAACCATGTCTGGCGACGAACAATGTTCGCCTGACTTAGAGGGGGGGGAGTCGGCAGGCTCACCTCATGAAGACTCAGATGGGTCATGGATTCGGCCCACCCTACCGGGGTCCGGTGCTGGCACCTCGGCCGGTGTCGGCATCTCATCGGGGCCTCCGGCTCTCTTCGCCCCTCCCTCGGCTTCGTCTTCGAGCACTCGTGGCGCCGACCTTGACCTTAGCCACGGCCAGCGGATGTCTTATGAAAACTTTTTGGCTTCAGCTATCAGTCAGTGCATTCAGGAGGATTCGCTCAAGCTCCCTTGGGAGAGGGGCATCTGGGCTCCGCCTGCTCATCTGAAGCCATCGTTTCGGCATCATGCTGTGGGGGTAGCAGATCTCTTTGTGCCTGCATCTCAACCTGCAGTACCTGCCTTCACGGCCGCAGCAAGTCGTTCTTACCCAGCCTTCATGAAGAAGAGGCTGAGGCTGGGAACTCTGCATCGTGACGAGTCTGAGGTTCGGGCCCTGCAGCTGAGGAAACTTAGGACAATTGTTTTACAGGACCCCTCTGCTTCGGAGCTTGGCTGTGCCTTGGTCAATGCAGCGGGGGCGCTTCAAGATGAGGAGCTTGTGGTTCGGAGCTTCAGGGACGCTTTCACTTCTAAGAGCACTGGGACTCTGGTGAAGCGGGTCTCTTCGCTTTGGCCTTTTTGCTCTTTTCTTAATGACAAAGGGGTTCCCCCGCTTAACTTCGTTGAAGAGCTCCTCTACGACTTCCTCAACAAACTCCGGGAAGCGAAGCGGGGGGCTACGGCAGCATCGTCCCTCCTTTCAGCTCTGAGGTTCATTCACGGTGTAGTTAAGATTAAGGACCAGCCGAAGGACCTCGTGTTCTCTGCCAGGTGTGAAGGTCTGGCGCGGGGCGAGATGAGCAAGAAGCGGCCCACCAAGCAGTCCGAGGTCTTGACATCGGACCAGGTTTGGTCTCTCGAGAAGCTTGTCGTGGAGCGGGCACCGAGCTTGTTCTCCCTGATAGGCGGCCAGATACTCTTTGCTCTCTTTGCCTGTGCTCGGTGGGATGATTCTCTGCACCTCGTGGAGATTATCCTGTCAAGGCACGGGCGCATTGTGCTGGTGGAGACAGCCACCTCCAAGCATAAGACTTCGCAGGCCTCTCACGACAGGTCCCTTCTGCTGCCTCTTATATGCTTGGGACAAGGCCTCTACGAGAAACCATGGGCCGACGCTTGGGTTGCTTCGCGGGCTCACTTTGGGATGGATGCAACAGGGCCGGCTCTTCCGACTTACTGTGAGAGAACCAGCTCTTTTGGCCAAGGCCCTATGTCTGCGACGGAGGCTACCCTGTGGCTTCGTGAGCTGCTGTGCATGGCAGGAGCATCTCCCATGGACGTCGAGAGCATCACCAGCCACGGCCTCAAGGCGACATTGCTGTCGTGGATCAGCAAGCATGGTGGATGGTCCGAGCGGGACCAGAAGCTCATGGGGCACCACTTCGATAGGGAGTCCCGCTCCGTACTGATTTACAGTCGTGACAGCTACACCCCGCTTGCTGTGCAGACCCGTCGCCTCCTCGACAAGATCATCGACGGCTCCTTCTCGCC